TTGGTGAAATAGTTGACAGGTTATGAGCCCGACTAAGTATATGGTCATGAGTTTACATAACCAAGAAGTAGAAAGAAACATTTATCTAGTAGTTGAATACTTTCATCTTTTGCTTGTCTACAGTACTAGAATGAATTACACCAACCATGTATTTAGTGGATACATTTTCCTATCATCTTCAAAATGAATATTTACTTCGTTCAGTTAGTCTACTGTATCGATCAAAATAGGACTGTATCACTTGAGGTATACTGAATTTTACTAATTTTCCTATCCCCGTACAACATTATTATTACAGGAGATGGAATGAATTATTTCACAATTCTTTCTCAGGCAAAATATATCCATCATTATATGGTCACCTTTCAAAATGAACGCTAATATGGGAGGTTTACTGAAGCTGACTCATGAAGCGATTACTTATATTCACTCAGTCTAGTATCTATGTTTTTCAATCATAATCTTTGTTACAGTCAATCAAAAGAAGTTATTGTGTGACATATGTTAATTCTCTAACCATAAATGACTATTATACACGCCTAAGTAGAGTAGAGATAGTACGTAGGTGTGTGTTTAGAAGCAATACAAAAAGTATCAAGAAAACGATACTTACCTTATTCATAAGGGATAAATGATTCAAAGCTTGGGAAAAAAAAGAAGAAGGGAAGTGAATCCCCCAGGAAATTTTAAACAGTAATGTGCAACCAATCATAATGAAAGGAACAAATTTCATGTTGTCTATCGATAGTTTTGACAATATGACCACCAAGCTTGGACGCTCAGCACTGTGGTCCACTTTGATGGATGTTATTTCGTTGGAGGAAGTTATGTTTTCACTGCAAACGTTATGAGATACTGATCTGGACAAAACAATAGTTTAGTGAGGGTGATATCAGTCCTCTCATGACTACAGACATGCCCAAATAGTGGATTTCATCAAAGCAAACTACTTTCAACTAACAACTGTCAGTTGTTATCAACACTGCGATAGATTATCGATCAACTGAAAGTTTGATACAGTTTATCACTGTCCTCTTGAGTATCACTCATTCAACTGAGTTGATTTGTTCCCACCCCCTTCTCTCGACTTCTCAATTCTTACCTTCTCAACTATTTCCAATTACTTAATAAAGTCTAGTTATAATTTCTGTTGTTCAACTTACAATACATAATTGGAATTCCATAATGTAACGTAAAGTCTCTAGTATAATAGTCTCCTACCCATGGGATTTACAAATCGAATAAAAATATTTGGTCCATCTAATGTAGCATAATTGAAGTTAGCAACGTGAAGATTATGTTTATTAGAGTTAGAAATAATAGAGAAATTTGCCTAAGAACCGGGAAATGAAAAATGAAAATTTCTACTTCAACATTTTGCTCATACCAAGTATGCCATGAAATGATAATTTTTCTTTAATAATTACATTTAGAATAATCTATAAAAATCCAATCATACTTCTTGAATGAATAATAAGATTATTTTCCAACAGTTATCTACTGTACAATCTAGTGTTATTGTTATTATTTGTGCTTTGGGTTCCTAGTGGAACATACAACTTCAGTAGCACGTAGCCATTTCACTCTCTCTTCTCTACACTCTTTCCAATCTGACTCAAACACTCACAACAACCTTTCATCTATTCATCACACCATCTCCTCCATGTCACCCTCACCTCCAACACCCAACTCATCCTTTCCAATTTGGCTTCCACTCGAGGGTATGGCTTCATACATGATGTTCCCAGTCGGCCTTCTCAGTGTATGTCCAATCTAATCCAATCCATCTACACTTCCTTCTGCATATTTGTCGGGTGATACCTTCTTGATTGGTTCGTTGCCCGACCAGAGTCTCTTGTTGCTTATTCTTTCTGACCATCTGATCTTCAGTATCGAGTGGAGGCTGCTGTTGATGTATGTCTGCAACAATCTAGTGTAGTGGATGAGAATCTTGTTTTTTTTCAACACCTATGATCCCAATCGGGAAGTTTTGTCCACTTGGTTACCCTCAAGAATATAACGAAAGTAGAATCAACTAGGAAGGTGCCACGGAGGAGATCGCGTGAGGAAGAAATGAGAGCTTGTGGGCTGTCGTGGAACCAGGTTCAAAAGATTGCAGAGAATAGAGTGGAATGGAGACGTGCTACTGAAGCCCTATGTTCCACTAGGAACCCAAGGGATAAATAATAATAATAATAACAATAATAATAATAAAGGATCGACTAGATTGGTAAAACGTGATGAATCCACTATGAATTATTTATTGTATTCACTACAGATATATGCGAGCCAGAAAAGGAAAATTTGTTCTGAAGACTGTTGAATTTTACCATGTTTAAAGGTTGTATTTGTTTATCAAATACGGGATAGTAATTTTTTTTCAACATATCTTTATGAAAGTCAACTAGAGAAGATCAAAAAGGTTGAATAGCTCAATTTCACAGCATTTATAGTTTGACTATCTGTGATAACAGTGGTTTGGTAAACTTGTGTTAGTGATAATGGATGATGTTTGACATAAAATCAACGTAAAACGTCACAAGTACCACACTTCGCAATAGCATGAAAAGAAACAGTGGGTAAAGAAAAGAGTGATATCGAAGTAGAAAATGTTGTATGACAGGTGAAACAATTTGAAGATAATCGTTAGTGCAAATATTCAAGCTTCAGAATCTGTCAAAGAGTAAATACATCGGCATCACTGTCACCGATTTTCCGCCATGTCAGCATGAGTCCTCAACCACTGATTCCCACCATCTCGAGGACCTCAGCCAGATACTTGACATCTAATACAGCTCATACCAACTGTCAGGGACTTCATAGACTGGTGCCAAGTCTTGGTCTGATCACGCTGAACCCTCTACTAAAATAATTCAACTTCCCATAGTACAGAACGTTGAGATAAACGGTGAATTGGCATGCACAGTACATGTAGAAGCCATCTTGGTCGACTAAGGTTCAAAACCCTCTGAATCAACGTGTCTTCTTTGTCTAGTACACTTCACCTGACCTCAGCATTCCTCATACAGTGATTCTAACAAACGCGAACAATGCTACGAAGACACTTGTTTCCAAAACCTTATGATCGCTTCATATCTTTTACTTTTAACAGACGTGTATGACAGCCGTAAAGCAGGACAGAATCGGCTGCAACGCATCATACTCATCGTTTGATTGATTGTCAGATATCTGGCCAGTTGGACCCACAGATGCCCCAAGTGGACAAATAGTAAACGGGTCTTTTTTATCCGAGCTGAGATTACGTTTGCAACCAGCCCGTTTGAGCTGATGCAGCCCCCAAAGTAAGCGAAGTGGTCGACATACTAACTATCTTTAAACTAGGACTGGGTTGTAGGTCAGTCATCTTGTATTTAACAGGTGTGAAACACATGCTAAGCAGGCTGAGATTTTGCTTAACGCGCTCAGGTGAAATGGAGAACTAGGTCACGGCAGTACTCCAAACATCAGCCTACATTTATTTATTAGACAGAGAACACGAAGTGGTTGTAACTTTTCATATTAAGATATTAAACACCATACAACTTCATTTTATTTAGATTCATAGAAATCGCAGTAATTACAGGGTCAAGACCTGATCTTTGTCTTCAAAAAGAGTCCCGTGTTAAACTACTACTGTAGCAACGAAATTCCCTTTTTCCTTTATACTGTGTCCTTTGATACTAGGTGATGATTGAAGGTGACATAGAAATTTCCTTCATGGAGGGATTCGAACCAGCGATCACCAGATTTCCAGCCTGGTGCTCTACAACTCCAATACTTCAAAATTATCTTTTCAACTCATCCTATTTCACAGTTTTAATCATTATGATAATTTTTCAATGTTTGATGAACTGCTTACCGCTCAGTCTTCAAATATGTTTATATTTGTCAATTTTCAGGATAACTAACTGTTTCTGGATTGTACACCGTTGAAGAGACTGCCAAAAACACACAATGAATTCATCGTCATCATCATTTTCGTCTTTCAAGAAGGTTTGTGTATTTCTTTGTAGAAAATTCTTTGCTTTGATAAAAATACTGGTTTTATCAAATTACTCATGTTCATCTTCCCTACATTTTACTATTTTGTGCAGTGTATCTACGAGATAAGTACTGCAGTTCATATTTTTCAACTAAAATATGAGAAAACTTACTGATGTAAAGTCTAGAACTCGACAGGTTGGATAGGTTCTAAGCTCATGACTAATAAATTGAAAACTAAGTTCATACATAAACCGTTAAGCGGTTGTGTTATAAATTATATGATAAAATGATGACATCGTAAAGGGAACTCTTGGGAAATTGCACCCTCTTAGTTTGATTGCTTAATCGAGTAGCTTACGTTGTCACTCTAGATGCCATCAACAACTGAAACTAGCAAAAGAAGTGAGTTGTAAAATTTCCTCAGAAAATGACTTAGTAGCTTGTCGTAATGCATTTCATTAAAATATGATTGGTTGCAACTGAAAAATCTACTGTTACAATAGTCTATAAGTCATGATGGATAGTGGCTAGTAGTGGAATCCATGACGCGTGTTTCATTCTATTTGGGACTCGTCAGCTGGATGTACGCCCCCTCCCCCCTACCCCACAGTGAGTGATGTTATTCCCATTGAGATTCGAAACCTATACTGATCACTTCAAATGCCACAACGTTACCCACTAGGCCACCGAGTCACAGCAGCCAACCGTTTTAAGACTATCTGCATTGCTATATGGCAATAGAGATGGATCGATTCGGTCCAATCAACGACGGGACAATACAAACAACAAAATATTCCATATGTCAACTCTTCAATGCTCAATTTAGGTATCATTTACACTTAGATGAAAATTGAACCAATCACAAATCAATTAGATATGAATTAAAATCAGCGCTAGTCAAAATTTAGTCAAGTGATCAAGTAATCAGAAAAGATAAACACACTTTCAAAAAACATCACGTTGGTATCTTCATCAATTAAATGAAAATATTTATCAACACATACACACACACACACCTGCTGTAAATCAATAATTTTTTCAGTGAAAAGCTTCTCTATATCCTTTATTGTATTCCCCATAGGTGTATTGATCAAGATACAATTGTGTTTTAATTGTTTAGCTGCTTCAATCATTAATTGAGTTTGTTTATCATTTCGTGGAAAGACTAATACAATCTAAAATGTCAAAAAAAAATTCAGAAAAAGAAAGAATAAAATTGTGACATTGATGACAACAGAAGATTCATAACCACAAATTCTGCTGAAATAAAGGTTGCACGTATGCATATAATGAAAGGTGGAAACACAAAAAGGTACACAGTTTCCTATTACTATGTATACACCATGCACAGGTAAAAACATCTCCGTTGATTGATCACAGAGTCTAACCAACTTCATGTGCTGAACGAATTCTATCACTCATTTTATGATGTGGTCACCAGACTAGGAGATTCAGCATTGCGATATCGAATCAACTAGCCAGTCACCTGGCCACATTGCAAAATAATCGATAGAATTCGATCAGCACTCAGGATTAGACAACATGAGATTGTTTGCTCTCCGGTGACCGATTGAGTCATACAGGAGGTGACGTGGGTCCAAACTTCAGGTGGATCATTAGTCACGTTGACGTTACAGATCCACCTTACTGACGAGTGCCAAAAAGCGTGAAACCTGAGTAGAACAGCATATCCTACCGACTGCTTCCATCCAACTTACAGGTATCTCCAACCTTGTAAACCAAAAGTTATGTCCATCCAGTAACCTTTAATATGTCTACATCGCAACGACTCGAGGAATAGGAAAAAGATAAGAAAAATAACTCAAAAGAAAGCACTAACCAGTATATTCATGTAACAAAAGATGTTTAACTTCATTCATCTGTGTCTGTAATAACTGTGTAATGATTGTAACTGAGAAATGCGTTCCAACATTTATCTTTACGTGACCGTCTGTTATGGCTTGTTTTATTGAATCGAATACAGAAAGGCAGATTTACAAAAACTTGGCTTTATTCATGTTCTATTTTAATCAAAACGTTTGATAGTAAATAAAGACAAATCGTGAATTCTTTCTTTTTTTTAAAAATTAGTTTTTTATTACAAGTAGGACACAAATGAGGACTGATGAAAATTACTTTGAGTCTTACAAAAATATGAAATTTTTGCTTTGAAAACAGTTTCTGTAAATATTCTATGCATTCTATAACATTATGTTGCTTCTTCGTTTATCTTCCATATTTCCATAGTTTCGCGTTCACTTGGTCCTTCAGAACTTCTATCGATTGGATGATGACTTTACTTGCTTTTCTCAAGAAAATCATGCTATGTATCCTACTTACATGTTTTCGTAGAGGTACCACATACCACACTACTACTACTACTGTAGTGGGCGTTGCTGATAAGAATGGATATAAGTAGTATATGTTGAGAGGGCGGCAGAAATCATAGGGGATTACCAGTAATCAGTAAAGATTCCGCTCAGAGAAACGCAAGAGACAACGCGGGTGTATTAAGAACAAATCAAGAGAGAAGCAGAAGAGGAAATGAAGCATATTATGTAAACGACTGCCTTAGCGCAAGGTGTATCACATTCTAATAATAAACATTCCTTTTGTCGTCTCTGTCCTCTCGTTTCCTTCACTACCACTACTATCTGATATCGCTTTAAAAAAACCGGTGAATACCACTGTAATATTCACGCCTGAGGTTCAGATATGACGGTAGTTGGGCTCAAAGAATTCTAGTGGTCGTTGACTCGAATCCGCCCGCGGTCCAGATTTTCATCCCACCTTTCAATTATCACCCAGTATAAATTCTAGTATTGTTAAAGTTTGGTTTGTTATCAGTAAAATGTTTACTCCCAGCTTTGAACAAGTTAGAATGCATTCTGAATACGACTAAACGTGATTGGTAAATATCTGCTTCGAATCCTCACTTTTTGTTGCCCTCTGAGTTGTTTAGACCTCACCTAAATTTGAATTTGTTTATTTGTAAGGGGATTGTTTATAAATGGATGATAATTATTCCTCTACTTAATTTTTTTACGTGATAAATTCATTTCCTTATTATTCGAATTCCTAACTCAGTGACTGTGAAGGTTTCACATACAGCGTAGTACCATCCTGTATATAATAACTTAGGTAAACTTGTCAAAGTACCCTGGAATTAGGCAAGATAGAGTGACGTAATCAACGTAGAACCTCCTATACAAGTGCATCAGTTCTACTCCCCACACTTCACAGTAGTATGCAAAGAAAAGGTGAATAGAAAAAGAATGACATAAAAATAGAAGTTGCATGATAGAATAAACAATCTGAAGACAACGGTTAATGCAAATATGTGACCTTTAGAAGATATCAAGAAGTGAATTTATCTGCACTATTGTCACCGACTTGCAGCCATGTCACCAAATGCCGTCAGTCACTGATTCCTTTCGTTTCGAGGACCCAACTATTCAGTCTACATCTCCACACACGACTCAGACTAACAGCCAAGGACTTAATCAACTGGTGTCACACCCTGGTCTGATCATTGTGAACCCTCTTCCGACATAATTCAACTTCCCTTGACATGTTACATCAAGATATGCAGTGACTCGGCATGCGCACTACATGTTCAAGCCATCTCAGAGGTTTAAAACCTCACTAACCGACTTGCCTTTCTTGTCTAATACACTTCGCCTGACTTCAACATTGATCACACGGGGATTCCACTAAACATGAGCAATATTACGAAGACACCTGTGACCAAAACTTTATAATCGCTTCATATCTTCTACTTTTAACAGACATGTATGACAGCCATACAGCAGGACAGAACGGACTGCAGAGCATTATACCCGTCCTTTGATAGATAGTCGGATATTTTGCTAGATAACGCGAGTTGACAAGTGTCAAACGGTCCTTATATACAACCTGATATTTAGTTAGCAACCAGCTCATTCAGGTTGATGAAACTTCACCACTTTATTCCCTATGCTTAATTTAATAGTTGCTAACCAGTCTTAAGTAAATAAGCATATGATACTTTTTTTCGAACTGTATATTTGCTTTAAAAATGCAACATGAAAGTAGCTCAAATGACACTACATCAAATGTATTTATATCCTTTTGCTGAAATTAAGACATCTTGGGCTTTATTTTAAGAAGCGATTATACTGCGCATGTTCGATGAAGACAACGACTATTCCACTTATTATAGACCAGGATGAAATAGATATCTCTTGGTGAAACATTTATGACTACTATGGTTACTACATCATTAGCGGTATTATTTGCTTTTCAGTTTTACTCATGAAATTTAGGTAAACTGAGGCATCGGGATCGGCATTGGAATATGTGCATGAAGATACCGTAGAAAAACTGACCAATATGCTAAAAGTAAGCACAAGAACAAAGCTATATGTAACCTATATTAGCGATACTAGAAGGGGTGGAAGTACAACTTTTAAACCGAGATGTGAGCATGCTGCGGTGTATCTAACTGAAAACCACAGCATAATTTCCATCATTATCAAATTTAAATTTATACTAATTATGAGACAAACTGAACAATTCCTTATCTCTTCCAGAGTAAAAGCATATACTTATAAAAGACCAAAAATTATTCGACTTTATTACGCTGTAGGGTGCCAAGAAATATTTACAGTATGGCTTCTTGGATATCCGCCTACTGGTGAAAGATATTCTGCGTAAATATTCATTATGTAACTATTGCTATTAATATCATTATTTGTGCTTTGGGTTCCTAGTGGAACATACAGCTTCAGTAGCACGTAGCCATTTCACTCTCTCTTCTCTACACTCTTTCCAATCTGACTCAAACACTCACAACAACCTTTCATCTATTCATCACACCATCTCCTCCATGTCACCCTCACCTCCAACACCCAACTCATCCTTTCCAATTTGGCTTCCACTCGAGGGTATGGCTTCACACATGATGTTCCCAGTCGCCCTTCTCAGTGTATGTCCAATCTAATCCAATCCATCTACACTTCCTTCTGCATATTTGTCGGGTGATACCTTCTTGATTGGTTCGTTGCCAGCCAACCAGAGTGAGTTCCTTGTTGCTTATTGTTTACAGCTATCTATCTATCTATCTAGTCTTCAGTGTCAGTATCGCGTGAGCGTAGGCTGCAGCTGTTGATGAACGTATGCAGTTTGTTGGAAATGCTTTTCCCAACGCACCGCCAAGTCTCTCAACCATCACATGGAAGCACTGATTTGACTGACATTAGTGTTGAAAATCCGGATATTGTTCACGCTTTATGCTGAGTCCAGTCCAGTGCAGTAGATCTCCACACTGATTTCAGATTAACTCAGGAAAGCCTGTCTCACCGTCTTTCCAATCCTGGCTGCTTTGACATCTTCATCTGTGCCACCGCCATCGTCACCGCCTGTAGTTGAAACGATACTGCCTAGACAGGTAGGTGAAAGAGACTACTTCCTTTAGGTTTTTCCCGTCAATGGTGATTAGTCTGTGTTGTTGATGCTGTTGTTGGTTGGGTATCTTCATCACCTCTGTCTTCTCTACATTCACTTGAAGTCCCGTTTTCGCCACCTTGCCTCTTCTGTCAACTTGTTAGTTTTCGCCTGTGAATCTTCGAGTTTGTGCGATGAGACATTAGACATAAATCATCATCAGCGGCGAAATCCAAATCTTCAAAGGTCTTTTTATCGGTCCAGCCAGTGTATACCTCTGTTCTCGCTCCTCACGGTTTGCCGCATGCTTCAATCTAGTCAATGACAATCAGGAAGATGATCGATGACAGTAAGCGGCAACCTTGTCTTACTCTTGTCTTCACTTCATTTCAAAGGCGTCGCTAAGCTTTCCATTGTGAACCACTTGGCATGTGGTGTCTTCATATAGCTGTTGAATGAGGTTGATAAAGATTTATGGCACTAAAACCGTAGTGTTGAAGTAACTGCCTGTCAAATTAATTCTCGGTCTACACTGTCGGAGGCCTTTTCAAAATCGATCAAGTAGAGGTAGAGAGTTGACTGTCATTCTGCGCTTTGTTCTGTGATGATGCATAGCGTTGCATTGCGATTTGATCCCCACATGATTTGTTCTTCCTGAAGCCAGCCAGCCAGCTTTCAACTTGATTTTGAAGGTCCCTTGCACTAGACAATGAGTGGTCTGAACCCTCATCTGCTCCGTTTCTCGATCTGA